TAAACTTGGGGAATTTACTAAAAATGGCATCGGATCAGGAAATGATCTCGTACAAAGTCGCAAAACGGATTTATCGCAAAACGGCTCGGAAAGTCCTAAAACGTGATAAAAGCCCATCTCGCGATCTTTACAAAATCTTACCCGAAGGTACGATAACGTTTTGACGATTTACTTACAAAAGGAAGATAAATGGAAAGTTTGAAGATAAATGGCAAGTTTGAAGATAAATAGAAGATTTCCGCGTGAAAAAAGGAGGGATCGAGATAAATGGAAGATTCCCGATAAACTCGAATCCGGTGAAATGAAAAGACTAAACCGCCTAGGAGAGGAGTACATAAGCAAGAGGCATAGGGCAGAAGCAGGACACAATTTTCAGAGCTTTCACCACCAAACTTAGCATTTAGGAATATTTCCGTTTTCTGTTAGCGAGCTGCATCTCAACTAGGGTTTTCGGTCTTAGACTTCTAGAGTTAGGGATTTCGCCGACGGCTCACGCAGCTATGGACACTCTCGTTGTAACCGTTCTTACGCAGTTTCAGAATAAAAACCTTCATGCTCTCATTCTCGTTCATTCTTACCTTAATTTTAAGTTCATCGTTTTTCTAATTATCGTTGTGCGGTTCTGCAGATAGTCGGGTCCTCTGGAAACTTAGGGTTTACTCAAAGTTTCCTTATTTATGATTCATTGAGTAGGTGAATTTCGGTTCCAACTGTTTTTTTGATGTAAATTCATATTTTTTTTCACAAAATTTTCATAATAATATACTACTTATGTTATATGCATTATGTGTAACGAAAAATATGAATGTATTCTTGTAAAAGTCGTGAGAGTTTTCAAAGAAAAATGAAAACAATGTTTGAAAAAGATTCTGTATTTTTCTCTATTTTTAACACGGTTTTGAAAGAAAAAAATATGAAAATATTTGGGGACGATAATCTGGGTGGTGTAAGACGTTGTTAGTTGATTTAAAAGACTTAAACCAATGAAAAATTAAAGTTTTAGGTAAAAATGAAAGTTTTAGGTATATTGTTATGAAAATGGATGTTTAAGGTCGATTTTGTATATTTATTCTTATTTTCCACTGTTTTAAGGAAATGTAATGCATTAGAATAGTGGTAGACGATATTGTGGGTTGTATAACATCCTCTTGGTCAGTTAAAAGTGTTAAACCGAGAAAAGCAAAAATTTATAAGAACTGCTGGAACTACTGATGTTACTAAAGTGAAACGTGTATTACTTGTATTACTGGAACGACTATGTACCGAAGACCTTGGACAACTTAGATTCTTTAAATGGTTTACTAATCATAATTTTTTTTTTTTTTGTTTCAGGTATATCTATGTTATGGCCTCTCCTATTACAATCATATGTTTTGATTACGGAGGAAGTTACATCAAAGATGGGGGTGAGAGAAGATGGATCTCGGGAGAAGATAAAATTCACACTCTAGTGATGAAGACAGCTGTTGAAGAGATAACGTATTCTGAATTGCTTGAGAGTATATGCAGAAAGATTAAGGCAAATGGAGATGGGATGGTGAAGATTAGTTACTTTCCAATGGTATTGTATTTGAAGAAGCCATCCTATATTTGGTGTGATGAAGACGTTTTGGGCTATCTCATGCAAGTAAATCATGATAACTGTAGAAGTGTTTTACATGTGGAGATCAGCAGCGACATGGATGATACATGTGGTGGTCAGTCCCTTTCAGTAGATGATGATGAAACTGATGATAGCTATAATGGTCTTTCCGAGGGAGATGATGATGGAACTGATGATAGCTACGTTGGTCTTTCTGACGGAGATGAAACTGATGATACTGAGAATCATGGAATTGAGCAAGATAGAACTGATCAGGATCATGAGATGGATGGCGTGGTCGGCCTTTACACAGCCCAACAAGATGAAGACATTGAGATGCAAGAGAATTCAGAAGGTGAAGCTGCAAGAGTGGAAGTTGAAGCCACGACACCAGTAATTGAAGCGACGATAGCAGTAGAAGAAGAATGGGAGGATGGTCTCGCTTTGGTTAAGGATCAAGAATTCAGAACTAAGACAGCCATGCAAGTTCTAGTTCAGAGGGGTTAACATAAGAATGGTTTTGAGTATGACACACTTAAGTCCGATACTTGGAGGTTTGTGGCAAGATGTCGAGGACATAAAGAAGGTTGCAAGTGGTATTTGCGTGTAGCAAAGCTTACGAATTCAGATCTTTGGACGGTTAGAACTTACATCAAGTCTCATACATGCTCAGTGGTAACTACAAGTACCCTTAGAAATAGAAGGAGAGGCACACCACAGATTGTCGCATTTGTTTTGAGAGAAGAATATCCCAGTAGATATGACACACCAACACCAGCCGATCTCATCAGTATGGTTACCCACAAGGTTGGTGTTGATGTGTCATATGCCACAGCATGGAGAGGGAAAAGGATGGCGGCTAATGAAGTCCGAGGTACTCCAGAAAAGAGTTTTTCTATGATACACTTCTACATGTACATGCTTAAGTTGAAGAGTCCTGACTCAGTAAGTCATGTTGAAGTGGATGCGGCGAAAAGATTTAAGTATCTATTTTTTGCATTTGGAGCTTCCATAGAAGGGTTCGCAGCGATGAGGAAAGTTATCATTGTGGATGGAACACATCTTAAGCATGTTTATGGTGGATTTCTTCTTGTTGAGACAGCTCAAGATCCTAATCGTCACCACTACCCTATCGCATTCGGTGTAGTTGATGGTGAGAAAGAAGAAAGCTGGATGTGGTTTATGAATAAGTTGAGGTCAGTGATATCAGATGAAGGCGGATTGGTGTTTCTTTCAGATAGAAATGCAGGCTTGATCAAGTCAATACGTGAGGGTTTCCCAACGACCGCACATGGATATTGTATCTGGCATTTGTCTCAAAATGTCAAAGAACATGTTTTCAAAAACAGAGACGCTTGCGCAACCAAGTTTACAGAGTGTGCACATGCTTATACAGTGGCTGAGTTCAATGATCTCTATGTTGAATTTTCCAATCGGTATCCTTCTGCTGCAGCATATCTGGAGAAATGTGTTGAAGTGAGAAAATGGGCAAGATGTTACTTTGAAGGAGACAGATACAATGTTAACACAACCAATGCAGCAGAATCCATTAATGGTGTTCTTCGGGAAGCCAAAAAAATACTTCATGCTACTGATGATTGATGTTATCATCAAGAAAATGGCTGAATGGTTTAACAAGCATAGGAAGAAGGCAGCTGAAATACCACTCACAAAGAAACTTGTGCCAACAGTGGAAAAGGAGTTGGCAAAAAAAATGTTTGGAGGCGAGGTGTTTAGATGTTGTTGAGAAAAACAGCTTCGAACTTGAGTACAATGTCAGTGGTAGTGACGGAAAGAATTATACGGTTGATTTGGCAAGAAAAATGTGCACCTGCAGGCGTTTTTATATAGACAAAATCCTATGTGTTCATGCTGCAGCTGCTGCCAAGTTCTTGAGCGTAGGAAGAGATCTTCATCTACAAGAGCTTTGTACGAAATACTATTTGGTGGAGTTGTGGGCATTGGCATACTGTAGGATGATTTATCTTGTTCCTCATATGTCTGAATGGGTCATACCAGATGCGATTCGAGCACTTAAAGTTCTTCCCCCGGTATATGAAAGAAAGAAAGGACCCACTCAAAAGAAAAGGTTTCCATCAGTTGGAGAATCTCGTGGAAGAAGAAGAGGACGCAAGAGGGGAAGAGGCAGAGGCAGCGGAAGTAGAGGCGGACGTTTGTATGAGTATTTTGAGTCTGGAAGTACTTCTGCCACCGCCGAGTAGCATGGAACTCTTGTGATTTGAACTATGTGTAATATGAACTACTAGGTACTTTTGGAACTACTATGTGTAATATGAACTACTAGGTACTTCTGGAACTACTATGTGTAATATGGACTACTAGAAATTACTTTGTACTACCCAAAACTACTATGTATTACTATTTGTTATGAATGTTTCTAAGAACCTTAATTTTCTTCTTATTATTTATTTTTAAAAGATGTATCTCGTAAATTACGTGATTATATGTCTATGCATGAGTATATTTTTCAAACTAGACATAAAATACTCTTAAAATCTCAAGTTGGTAGAAAACTTCTCATGTCAATAGCAAACATCTTTATACTTCCTTGTTAATGTCTTGATGGAAAAACTATAATGAGATGAATTTCAGAAAGCACATATTTTCTAAAATTCTTTTTTGCCAATGTGTTACATACAGTTTAAAAATGTCTAAATGAAATGGTATTACTAAGTAATTTAATTTAATGACGCTGTATTACTAATTATATGTCTATGCATGTGTATATTTTTCAAACTAGACATAAAATACTCTTAAAATCTCAAGTTGGTAGAAAACTTCTCATGTCAATAGCAAACATCTTTATACTTCCTTGTTAATGTCTTGATGGAAAAACTATAATGAGATGAATTTCAGAAAGCACATATTTTCTAAAATTCTTTTTTGCCAATGTGTTACATACAGTCTAAAAATGTCTAAATGAATTGGTATTACTAAGTAATTTAATTTAATGACGCTGTATTACTAAAAAAAAACTATAATCGGAAAATACTATGAAGAATGAAATATTACTACTACCTTGAATACTACTAAGAGTAAGATAAATATTATTTTAATATTCAAACATATTTGTTTAATATTATCTTTTACACGTTTTTGGCATGTGTCTTAGGTTTTTTTTTTTTTTTTTTCATGAAGTGTTGACAATATTTTTGTCTTAGTATTACCTAATAAACCTAGTAGTACAAATTTGCTTTCTTAGGAAACGGATTGCCTTGTCTTCAGTTAGACCAAACCTGCTTCAAGAAAATCACACAACACAAATTAAACATAATAGCATCCTACATAATAACATTCAAGCATAGATAGCATCCAAAAACCAACAAAAACATAGCATCCTACATAAGTTCATAACAAAGCCGAGAAAAATATTAAACATAGCATCTACATAAGTTCACTAAGCCTCAGTTCTAGGCTTCTTCTTGGGCCCTTCAATCTCATCGGTGTCAGCTTCAGTGAAAGGAGAGGAAACCCAACGTGATCGTGCACGTATCCTTGTTGTCTGTTCTGGAGTTGCGAACTTCTTTGGGTCAGTAGACTTTCTCGGTCTACCCCTCAGCTTAGGAGCATTCTTCCTCACCGCCGCTGCCTTATGCCTATGCTTAACCCTAGTAGGAGCAGGAAGTCCCTCAGCTCCGTCAACAGCAACAGCAGGAGCTCTCTCATCCGTCTCATCAACATCATGAGCTCCCTCATCCGTCCCACTAACAGCACGAGCTCCCTCATCCGTCTCATCTACAGCAGGATCTCCTTCATCTACAGCAGGAACTTCATCAGCCGTCTCATCTACAGAAGGAACTCCCTCATCTACAACAGGAACTTCATCCGCCGTCTCATCTACAGCAGAAACTTCATCAGCCGTCTCATCTACAGCAGAAGCTCCATCATTGCTCTTGCAAACTGTAAGAATCCACCCTTGTTTCTCTTCGACTGTGTATTTATCAGCCTCATCAGACCACTGGAGAACCAATCTCATACGTGGTGTCCCCATATGTGATGATCTCCTCGCGGTTGCTGCCTTAGTTCTACCACGTGGTGGTGTAGGAGTTTTCTTGGGTTCTTTCTCAGCCTCCTTCTCTAGTTTCTCAGTCTCGTCCTCCTCAGAACCTTTATCCTTCTTCTGAGCCTCTTCTTCACCTTGAGCTTAAGATTCTTTATCTTTTTTTTCCTCAGAATCCTTATCCTTCTTCTGAGCCTCTTCTTCACCTTGAGCTTCAGATTATTTATCTTTGTTTTCCTCAGAATCCTTATCCGTCTTCTGAGCCTCTTCTTCACCTTGAGCTTCAGATTATTTATCTTTGTTTTTCCTCAGAATCCTTATCCGTCTTCTGAGCCTCTTCTTCACCTTGAGCTTCAGGTTCTTTATCTTTATTTTCCTCAGAATCTTTATCTTTTTTTCTGAGCCTCTTTTTCAGATTGAGCTTCAGGTTCTTTTTCTTTGTTTTCTTCAGAATCTTTATCCTTTTTCTGAGCCTCTTCTTCAGCTTTCTCTGCCTCTTATTTTTCGTTAGAGCGCCCCACATTCCACTCAAAATCCATGCCCAGGTACTCGAAACCATCATTGTTCTCGTTCTCCTTCCTTTTCATTTCTTTCTCAATGCCATCAACCCTCTCTTCCATTGTCTTCTACTTCTCAGCCTTCCTTACTAACCTATATTGGCATTCTTTAATGGACGAAAGCCTCTTCTCCACTTTCATCTTCTTAACCTTTCTTTTAAGAATAGCGTGGCTCATTTCCATGACACCAAGCCTCTTGTCCATTTTCGTCACCGTCACACACACTTCACCCAAATGAGTCGTCAACCTCTCTTCAATCCCTTTCAGAAGGTCTTCCAAACCATGACTAGAGGAGGATGCTTCTTCATTCATTTTTCTTTTGTCTTTCTTCTTAGGAAACTCCCTTGCATCCACATATAACTCATATAGCTCTTGCCAAAATATAGGCTTCTCCTTAATAGTAAGCCATGTGCTCAAGGCATTGCTTACTCCTTCCTCATTTTCATAATCTGGCTCCCCTTCCAGTATACGCGCTAAGAGGGATTCTTCGTCAACAGTAGGCACCAGAACACTTGTAATAACCTGAAAATAAAACCAACACAATCACTTAACAAACACTATAATATTCAACTCACTTAATAAAATCAGTAGGAACCAGAAAACTAAACACATACCTTGCTTTCTCCAATGGCGGCATACAAATCCTCAAGGGGATAACCCTTCATGCTGTTATTTCTGAACCGCCTCTTGCACATCCTCAGACAGTTACTCATACAGCCAGCTACACCTTCTCTGAATTCTGCACTAAGAGCTGGGATACACTCAAATGTCAGGATCTACAAACAACATATGACAACAAGAATTTGTCAAAAAAAAGCAATAATACATACTCGTCAAAACAAAACAATCATACAACAATTTGTCAAAAGAAAGCAATAATTTACCTCTAAAGGAACTATGAACCCATGGAAGTTGACATTTCTTTTAGGTTTCCCTTTGAGTTTCTTCATCACGAGATTAATGGACCGGATCGCATCATCCAACATCAAGCGGCCCCAAGGAAAGGTTTTGCAGATTTCCACACTGTTGACGATTCTTAAAATGAAAGAGTCAAATGGGGCATTATACTTTGCCTTAGCTCTGATAAATGTGCCTAGGAAGTAAAGCACCGCCTTCCTGAGTCGATCCCAACACGCACTCATACTCAACAACTTCTTCTTCACAGACTCCATTGTTATCTCCTTATGCGAGTCAAAATGCCTATTTACAAAAGCAAAGCCCCCCAACTTCTCATACTTATCCGGGTATTCACAGCAGTCCAAGCCCGAGATGAGTGCATGCTCTCTCATTGAATACTGAATGGGCACACCATTAACCGCGAACCAAGCTGTGTCCTCTCCCTCGTATAAGAGAATCGTGCGCAGTAGCAGCGTCCACATAACCAACAGCCTCAAGTTTGGTTCATCGGGCATGTGGAAAATGTGGCAGAACTGAGGGTGGTTTTTGAACCACTCCAGCTCAGGCTTAAACTCCTTCAAGAACTCCACCGTGGAGCTCCCTGAGAACTTGCTATGTATCTTACACGAGTTGGTGAATTATGTGTTCTTGAAGTATAGCTCATCGGGTGGCAATGGTTGGCATTCCTGCAAACCACATTAAAATTATATTAGCACTTTATTTATTAATTTGTCTTAGTATAACCAGTAATATTAGTAATGCACCAAGAATACTAAAACCAAATAAATCTGATTATCAATCTGAGTCTGAGATGCTGAGAATGCATACCTGGGATGTTGCAGAATGATGATCAGTATGAATCTCATTTCTTTCTGAAAGCTCTTCAGCTACTGGAGCAGGGTTGTGTTCTTGAACCTTTTCTCTTGCGGAATTTTTTTTTTTTTCTTTTTCTGCCTTTTCTCTCCCCGCTTACCACCGCCTGCCATTATCCTATAACAACAAACATTGGATTTTTCATTATCATATAACAACAAATCTATATCCTCTTGATATCCTATAAAAACAAACATTCAGTTAGAACTGAAACACTCAACATTCAATAATTGTATTAACTATTTTTACCATTAGGATTTCAATTAAGTTACACAAAGATAAAACAATTTTTACAAAAACCAAATCGATTCAACAAAAAAATAATCTTTAAAAAAAATTCAGATTCAAAACTTCAAAATTCATTCATTTCTTTAAGGGGAAAATTGCATAAAAATCATGAAATTGGCAAAAGTTTGCACTTTAAACCTTGAGACTCAACTGCTAACACTTTAAACAATGAAACTCGTAACAATAACATATTAAACATCGAACTAACTTACTTATTGCACACGCCAAAATTGTGACCGGTTACTTTTCATTAGCTGCTAAAAAGCGATGACGTGGCGGTTTACTTAAAAAATAATTATTTAAAATAAATAAAATTAGATAAAAATAAATTTAAATTCGAAAAATTGATTTTTTTTTTTTGAACAATTCTAAAAATTGATATAAGTTCAGGAAAAATAAAGAAAATTCAAAAAATTAAAAATAAAAAAAAATTTATAAATTTAAAAGTTTATAATAAAAATTTATAAAATAGTAAAAGTCGATTAAAACTAAAAAATAGTAAAAAAAAGTCGATTAAAACTAAAAAATAGTAAAAAAAAAGAAATTAAAAAGTGTAAAAATCGATGAAATTTAGAAAATGAGAAATTTATAAAGAACTGGAAGACAAAATTTCTAATATAAAAAAATTATAAATTGAAAATGAAAATACTTGACCCAAACCTCTTTGATGTTTAGGTAGACATATAAACGTTCGGATGTACGGGTTCAGATCCTTCAGATCATATAGATTTGGATTCAAAACTTTTGCCAACTTCATGGGTTTTGCTAGTTTTGCCACTTTCATGGTTTTCTTTTTTCCAGATTTTTTTTCTTAATTTTTATCAATTTTTATAATTTACTTTTGTTGTTATTATTTTTTTTTCAATTTATAAATATTTGTTTTTGATCCTTAATAATTTGAATTTTCAGTAATTTATTTTTTTTTTAATTTTTAATTTTTCCTGATTGTATTAATGTTTTCTAATTTTTATCCATCTTTTGAATTTATTTTTTTGAAGTTCTTTTTTGTTTTCCAAATTTTAATAATTTCCTATTTACTAATTTTTATCAGTTTTACACTTTTTTAATCTCTATTTTTATATTTTTACTATTTTGGTAGTTTTAATAATTTTTTACTATTTAATTTGTTTTTATTATAAACTTTTAAATTTATAAATTTATTTTAATTTTTTTTATTTCTGAATTTTCTTTATTTTTCCTCAACTTATATCAATATTTAGAATTTATATTGATTTTTTATCTAATTTGTTTTTATTAATTATTTTTTTGTGTTTTTAAGTAATCCGACACGTCACCCCTTTTTACCTGCTAATGCACAGTAACCGGTCACGATTTTGACGTGTGCAACAAGTAAGTTAGTTTGATGTTTAATATGTTATTGTTACAAGTTTGATTGTTTAAAGTGTTAGCAGTTGAGTCTCAAAGTTTAAAATGCAAACTTTTGCCAACTTTAATGTTTTTTATGCAATTTTCCCTTTCTCTAAGCCAAACAAGCACACATCATATATCACAAAGAAATCCACATCAAAACGATTTGAATCTATGAAAAAAGGTATGAAAAACTGTTACCTTTTACATGCCGAGAATGGTGATGGAAGATGTTACAAGAGGATAAAAGAAAGCTTGACGCCGGGAAAGATGGTGATTCTGATGATGGACCAGAGAAGTGGTAGTTTTTGGTGGATTGCGTTGGATTTCGGTCGATTTCGTCGAGTGTTTCGGGTTCTAGGGTTTCTAGGGATTGATTTTCTTTCGATTTGGGGGAAATGAGAACACTTAGGAGAGAAAGATAGGGTTTGGTCCGTTTGCGAGAGAGACACTGGGAGAAAGAGAGGGTTTGGGAGAGAGACACGGGGAGAAAGAGAGGGTGTGGGAGAGAGACATGCGGGTCACGCCGATGGATCCGGGTCGTGTGAGTCGGGTCAAATAGAAAGAGGTTGGATCTGTAAATATTGGATGTCGTTGAGGGCAGTTTTGTTTTTACCACAGTTTCGATTAAAATATGATTAAAAGTATAGTTTTTTTTATTGGTGGAGTAATATAGAATACACATGGGAGTGAGTGGGGTGATATAGAATAAGGTTCTAAGAAAATGGCTGAATGGTTTAACAAACATAGGAAGAAGACAGCTCAAATACCAGCCACAAAGAAGCTTGTGCCTACAGTTGAAAAGGAGTTGTTAAAAAGATTTTTGGAAGCGAGGTATTTAGATGTGATTGAGATAAACAGCTTCCACCTTGAGTAAAATGTCAATGGTAGTGACGGAAAGGTTTATACGGTTGATTTGGCAAGAAAAAATGTGCAGCTGCAGGTGCTTTGATATAGACAAAATCTTGTGTGTTCATGCAGCTGCTGCTGCCAAGTTCTTGAGCGTTGGAACGGATTTCCATCTACAAGAATTTTGTTCGAGATACTATACAGTGGAGCTTTGGACGTTAGCATACTGTAGGACGATTTATCATGTGCCACATCAGTCTGAATGGGTTATACCAGATGAAATTCGAGCACTTAAAGTTCTTCCTCCATTATATGCTAAAAAGAAAGGACCCACTCAGAAGCAAAGGTTTCCATCAGCCGGAAAATCTCGTGGACGAGGAAGAGGGCGAGGAAGGGGAACGGGAAGGGGAAGGGGAGGGGGAAGGGGAGGGGGAAGGAGCAGAGGAAGGAGAGACAGACATTTGTATGAGTATTTTGATTCTGGAAGTACTTCTGCCACCGCTGAGTAACATGGAACTCTTGTGCTTTGAACTAGTAGGTAACGCTGAACTACTGGTACTATCGGAACTACTATGTGTAATATGGACTACTAGGTACTACTATGTACTCTATGTGTAATATGTACAACTAGGTACTACTTTGTACTACCTAGAAACTACCTTTAACTACCTTAAATTACTATGTATTATGCATGTTTCTAAGAACCTTTGTTTTCGTCTTATTATTTACTTTTAGAAAACATATTATATTACGTGATTATATGTTCATATTTGTGTTTATTTGCCAAATTACACATAAAATATTTTTTAATTCTCAAATTAGTTGAAAACCTCTCAATTCCATAGAAAACATCCTGATACTTCTATACTAATGTCTAGATGGGAAGACTATAATGGGATGAATTTCAAAAAATACATAATTTGTGAATTTATTTTCTGCCAATGTGTTATATATAATCTAAAACTGTCTAAATACATTGGCATTACTAATAAATTTAATTTTTTGAGGTTGTATTACTAAAAAAATGTTGTAATTTGCAAAAGTATTACTATGAAGAATGCAATATTACTACTACCTTGAGTACTACTAAGAGTAAGATAAATATTACTTTAATATTTAAACATGTTTGTTTAATATTATATTTTACACAGTTTATACAAAGTGTTAATAATGTGTTACACGTTTTAGACTAAGTCTTAGGTTTATATTTTTTTTATTTTTCTTAAAGTGTTAACAATATTTTTGTCTTAGTGATACATAATAAACCTAGTAGTACAAATATGCTTTCTTAAGACTTAGATTGTTTTGTTCAATTGGGCCAAACCTACTACAAGACAATCACACAACACAAAGCATCATAAATAAGAGATAGCATTCAAGTTTTACAACATAGCATCCTATTTAAGTTCACAACAAAAGACCGAGATAAATATTACAAACCCAAAATATTTTAAGTTGGTTGTCTTCTAAACTTTTATTCTAGGTTTCTTCTTGCGCCCTTCATTCTCATCAGTGTTAGCTTCAGTGAAATGAGTGGAAATCCACTATGAACGTGTGCGTGTCCTTTTTGGCTGTGCTGGCGTTGTGAACTTCTTTGGTTCAGCAGATTTTCTCGGTTTACCTCTCAGCTTAGGAGCATGCTTCTTCAACGCCATTTGTTTTGGCCTATGCTTGATCCCAGCAAGAGCAGGCTTCGCTGCTTCCTTCGTTTCACATGTACTGCCTTCGTAGACAACCATGTGCCACTCTTGTTTTTCTTCTTCAGTGTATTTTGAGCCTCTTTCTCGTGTTCTTCCACTTCATCCTCCACCATTTGTTTAGCTTCTTTCGCAGGTTCTTCTACCTCTTCCTCCACATTTTTTGAGCCTCTTCGGCAGGTTCTTCCATCTATTTCTCCACCCTTTTTTCAGCCTCTTTTTCAGGTTCTTTCACCTTTTCCTCCATCATTTTTTGAGCTTCCATCATTTTCTGCCACTTCTCTAGTGTTGTATGGGATACTCTCCTCGCGGCTGCTGCCTTAGTTCTACCAGGTAGTGTACGAGTTTCCTTGGGTTCTTTCTCAGCTTGAGCCTATGTTTCAACTTCAACTCGAGCCTCTGTTTCAACTCCAACCCGAGACTCTGTTTCAACTCCAACCCGAGACTTAGCCTCTTCTTCACTCTCTTCTTGAACCTCATCAGGTTCTTTCTCAGCCTCTTCTTCACTCTCTTCTTGAACCTCATCAGGTTCTTTCTCAGCCTCTTTTCACTCTCTTCTTGAACCTCATCACGTTCTTTCTCAGCCTCTTTTTCACTCTCTTCTTGAACCTCATTAGATTATTTCTCAGCCTCTTCTGCATTCTCTTTTTGAACCTCATCAGGTTCTTTCCCTGATTCTTTTTCTTTCTCAGCCTCTTCTTCACTCTTTTCTTGAAATTCATCAAGTTCTTTCTCAGGTTCTTTGGTTGTTGCGTCTACTCCATTGCTTTCATACTGCTGCCCACCCCAGTCATAATCCATGCCTTGGTAGTCAAAACTCTCATTGTTTACGTTATCCTTCTCCCTATCTTTCATTTCCTTCAATTCAGTCTCCAGCTTCTTAAGCCTATTTTCCATTACCTTCATCCTCTTACACCTTCTTTTTAAAAAAACTTGGCATGATTTAATCTTCCCAAGCCTCTTGTTCATTCTCTCCACCTTCCCATTCACTTCACTCAAATATGTCATCAATCTATCTTCAATCCCTTTCAAAACGTCTTCCAAACTTGTATTAGAGGAGGATGTTTCTTCATGCACTTTCTTTTTGTCTTTCTTCTGAGGAAACTCCCTTACAGCCACATCTAACTCAAAGAAATCTTTCCACCAGATAGCTTTGTCTTTAACAGTAAGCCATGTGCTCCACAAATTACTTGGTCCATCATTATTTTCATAGTCTGGCTCCTCCTCTATTATGCGTGCCATGAGAGTTTCTTCATCAACAGTAGGTGTCAAAACACTTTTAATTTCTTGAAAATAAAACAAAAAAAATATCAAACACATACCTTTGTTTCTCAATCACTTCAATGAACCCATATTGTATCTCAATCACTTTAATAAACCCCCAAGAACATTATATCTCAAGCACATTAATAAACCCAAAATATCAAACACATACCTTTGTTTGTCCAAGTGCATCATACAGATCTTCAAGTGGAAAACCCTTCATGCTGTTTCTTTGGAAACGCCACTTGCACATCCTCCGGCAGTTACTAGCACAACCATCTACATGTTCTCTGAATTGTGCATTCAGAGCAGGAATACACTCAAATGCCAGCATCTACAAACAAGAATTTGTCAAAACCAATCATACAAACAAGAATTTTTCAAAACAAAACTCTAATAAAAAGAAAAATTTACCTGTAAAGGAAGAATGAACCCAGGAAAAATGACATTCTTCTTAGCTTTCCCCTTCAGAAGCTTCATCACGTGTTTAATGGACCGGATATTATCATCAAACATCAAGCGAACCCAAGGAAAGGTTATACAAACCTCCACATTGTTGTCTATCCTTAAAATGAAAGGGTCAAATGGGGCATTATACCTTCCCCTCCCTCTGATAACCGTGCCTAGGAAGAACAATACAGCCATCTTAAGTCGATCCCCATCAGCCTTCATACTCACCAACTTCTCTTCCACAGATTTCATCGTTATCTCCTTGTGTGACTGAAAATGCCTATCTACAAAGGCATAATTCCCTAACTTCTCATACTTATCTGGGTATTTTTGGCAGTCCAAACCTGAGATGAGTGCATGCTCTCTCATGGAATACCGGATGGGCACACCATTAACCGCAAACCAAGCTGAGTCCTCTCAATCTTCTAAGGGAATCGTTCGCAATAGAAGCATCCACACACCCATCAGCTTCAAGTATGGTTCATCGGGCATGTGGAAAATATGGTAAAACTGAGGGTGGTTTTCGAACCACTTCAACTCAGGCTCAAGCTTTCTGATGGTTGCTACTTTGTTGCTCACACAGAACTTGCTCTGTATCTTACATGTTTTGGTGAACTCAGTGTTCTCGAACCATAGCACATCAGGTGGTAGTTGTTGGCATTCCTGCAAACCAAATAAAAATATATTAGCACTTATATACTACTTTGTCTATTCTACTAAAACTAGTTATATAAATTTGTCCTAATAAAACTATTAACACCAGTAATACATCCACAATAGCAATTCATTCAACTACAACAAAAAAATATACTTGGGAATGCAAACCTGAGACGTTGCAGACATATGATCAGTCTCATTCCCTTCGTCTGAAAACCCTTCTGCGTTAGGAGTATTGTTTTTCTTGTTCCGCTTATTATTTTTTTCATTCCTTTCTTCTTATAGCCTCCTGCCATTATCTAGGTCTCGTGAATACACATAAACAAAAAACATTCAGTCACCACCACAATATATCCCAAACATTTAGTAACCAAAAAAATCTCTAAATATTCTAACACAATCGTCACAACTGAGAATCATTCGTTTGTAAACTTAAAACCATTCATTCAATCTCTAATTCACTCTCATATTTTCATAAGCACAATGAACCACTCAATCCCCAATTCGGTTTCACATATACAAACTTTCAATCACAAAAGAAATTAGCCTAAATCATGGTCATAATCGACAATCATCACTAGGCTAATCTCATAACCGGACCAAACTTTCAATTTCCATGACCTCAAAAACTAAACATCCACAAAATTTTCCTTTCACCAGAACATTTAAATGCAACCATAATCTTTTTAAACCCACAACAAAATTAACCAAAAAAAAGGAGAAGAAATATACCTATTACTCGGTAAAATACGGTGGAAACGGAAGAGGTGAGAACGAATAGAGGAGATGGAACAAGGAGTCTAGGGTTTCGTCGATTTCGCCGTAGGTGTAAAAGAAGGAGACTAGGGTTTCGGTGAATTTCGGTCGATTTCGTCGAGTTCGTCGGGTTCAAAGATTTCTAGGGATTGACTTTCTTTCGATTTGGGGAAAATGAGAAACACTTAGGGGAGAAAGAGAGGGTTTGGTCTGTTTGGGAGAGAGACATTGAGAGAAAGAGAGGGTTTGGGAGAGAGACACGGGGAGAAAGAGAGGGTTTGGGAGAGAGACACACGGGTCACGCCCACGAATCCGGGTCGTCTGAGTCGGGTCAAATAGAAACAGATTAGATCTGTAAATATTTGATTTCATTAAGGGCAGTTTTGTCTTTCACCACTTTTTAGATTAAAATATAATATTTTTTATTGGTGGGGTGATATAGAATACACATGGGATTGAGTGGGGTATCTGAGAATAAAGTCCATTATTAGATGGTCAACTACTATAGAAAGAGACTTATCCATCGATAATGCTCTTGTATAAGAGTGATCATTTGCACCCAAAACTTGAACATACCAGTGAAGCTAAACCAGTTAACCGGTATTGCAACTGAGACCAAAACCAAGAGGAAACAATGGGTCATACAAACTGTCATCAGCATTCAGTGGCAACTGGTTAACACGTTTGAACCAGCTCACTGGTAACTTCCCTTCAAAGTCAAAATCTCCAAAAATGACATCAGCCATTCCTTGCCCTTCAGTTCCAGGGAACCAAGCAGCGACCAAAGCCTCAGTCTTTTCAAGAACCATCACCTCAAGAACCATTGGCCGTCCTGTGAACAAGATCACCAGAGTTGGTATTTTCTCCGCAACCGCAGCTACAATGTTGTTACCATTTAAAGGTATTGTGAGCTCAGAGTTATCGCCTCTCATCTCTGCGTAGGGAGGTTCCCCTACTGCAACAATGGCGTAGGAGAAGCCTTCAGCCGAGGCTAAGGTTTCCTTTGATGGAGTTTTCTCGTAGATCACTTCGGTTTTGTCCCCAACTGCAGCTTTTATACCATCCAAAAGTGTTGTGCCTGCATTTGAAAACAATATATATATATATATATATATATATATATATATATATATATATATATATATATAAGTATTTGTAGAAAAACGTACCGTAGACAATTCTAATTTGCTTTATTACCAATAGTGATTTTCCCGCATTGACCAGATTTTGTCTTTGTCCATCCGCCACACTGGTTACCAAGATCGTTTGCGTGGGTTCCAACCACTAGAATTCTCTTAGCATTGCGATCTAGCGGCAAAAATGGCTTATCAGAACCTTTGCCATTCTTTAGCAAAACTAAGGACTTTCTAACAGCTTCGCGTGCCACTTCTCTATGTTCCTGCAAATATGGATACAAAGTAAATAATGCTCTCATATATCTTAGATTGAATATGCAGGATTCAGAGTTAGAGCTGACCTTGCAACCAACAGTAGGCAACAAAGATCTGTCAGTGAAAGGATATTCGAATAGACCAGCTACAAACTTCACTCTAAGTATTCTTCCAACAGCGTCATTGATTCGAGCCATTGGTACTTCCCCTGACTTAACCAGATCTGTAAGGTCTTGTATGAACTGTCGGTACTTGAAAGGTACCATTACCTGAAATAACATTAATTAACAATCTTTATTTCTTTCAACCATCATAAGCCAGAAGAAGAAATCATTCACTACCAAATCAATTCCAGCATTGATCCCTAGTTTGACACAGTTACGGTTGTCTGAACCTTGTGGCTCGCTTACAGTCTCCAAACCATCCCAGTCGGAAACTAAAAGACCCTGGGAACAAAAAAAACAGAGTTAATCAAATGTATACACCTCTAGCTTATTTAAATTTGGTTTTCATATTCAACCAACCTTGAAACTAAGTTTCTGTTTGAGAACTTCTGTTAAGAGGAAATAGTCAGAGTGGAGTCTACTTCCATTCCAGCTTGAAAAAGAGGCCATAACGGTACAGACTCCCTGAGAAATACATTTCAAATAAGGTGCAACATGTATTTTCTCCAAGTCTTTGTATGACGCAATGGTGTTCCCTTCGCTTAAACCCTTATCAGTACCACCATCTCCAACAAAGTGTTTTGCACACGCCACAAGATTGTTTCTATCACCAATAAAAAAACATTAGAAATGACAACAAGCATACTATATAGTGTACTATATAGTGTAGTAGCATTATATAACTATACCTTCCCGCAAGAAAAGGGTAACCCTTAGGGTGTTCTTCGGGTGGTTCGCCTTGTAGGCCCGAGATAATTGAACTCATCTCAGAAACGATTTTGGCAGCTTCACCATAACTCTCGTAGCATCGTCCCCACCTCGGATCTCCCAGAACCTGCGAATAAACAAGATTTAATTCAGTATTTACAAATCAGTATTCTAAGATTTTTAACAATCTATAAGGAACTCACGGCCACGCAGGGAGCATATGTCCAGTGAACGCCACTAGCCCTTACTTCAAGTGCTGTTACAGCTCCAATTCTTTTGACCAACTCTGCGTCTCTATATGAGGTACCAGACAAGACCACAAGTGTTATTACATCGTGAACAACCGAACACAAGATCTTAAATTGGAAGAGAATGATATTAAACTAAATGAACATAAGCCTTTTTTTTTTTTTTTTTTTTTTCAAAATTTCCTTTTATTGATAAAAATAACGAGACTACAAATCAGGAAACTCACCTGCAACTACTACACAGAAAACTTCCAGGGAATTAACAATGCCCTCAAAAAAGATTCAGTCAAGAGCCTAATAAAGTAAGAGAGGAGCTACTAGATAACCGCATGTTTCGAGACAGGGGATCCAATCTCAACGGAACAATCTTCTTTAAGCCTTTCGTTTAAAAAAGAAAACAAACTAAAACCTGGTGGCGCCGAGGCCAACGTTGTGGGGGAAAATGGTGGCACCGTAGACGTTATTGTTGCCGTGGACAGCGTCTGTGCCGTAGATTATTGGGATTCCCAAACGCGACGCTAACGCTGAACGCTGAAAACCGTCGATCATATCAGCCCAGTCAGACGAGTTTGCATCCTGGAATGGCCAACTCCCAGCGCCACTCTGTACACTGCCTGTAGAACCAAAGTCATAAAGATTATTGCTAATGTCTTCCTTGAAAGAAAATGCACCAATATATACAGTTTATGTTATATATTAAGGTTTGTGGTTGTGTATACCAATGAAGTAATCTGTAAGGACATCATGAGTAGCGACGGAGCGTTCGATTTGAGTCATCTGACCGATCTTTTCCGGTAGAGTCATGCGAGATAGAAGGTCTTGGACACGCGCCTCCACGGGGGCGTTTGGCTTCTTGTAACATGACGAGTCCTCCGTCTCTGCCATAGTCTTCTAAAAGTCTTTTCTTCAAAAGTCCAGCCACTCCACTTGCCTTTTATCTTTCAGCACTAGTGGTGGTTGATTAATTTATTAAATCATCCCTCCAATAATTTGTACTTGTTATAGTCTTTTGAGTAAAATAAGTTACAATGATTGGTTGGTGTGTAGTTGTGAAAATTTTGCTGTAAAAATTAATTTATAGATTTTTTAATAAAAGTTTATATGATGTAGGTCATGTTCGGAACTACGCTAGGTGTTAGTCGGGCGACGAGTTCGGGCCTAGCGATTTACCAAATAATTGAAGATTAATTTTTATATTTTTAATTATAAATATAATATATATCAATACATGCGAACATTAAACGTAGAAATAGAAAATAAATTGAAATTGTCCCACATCGGTTAACTTTGACAAAGAAGGGTCTTAGAGTGTCCTATAAACACATAGAAAAAATCTTTATTTTATTCTGACAAATGGCTTGTCATTACGGCCCAAACATTTGTCAATAAAATCTAACTTTTTAAGGTTGAAGTCTGTTTTTAGGTGATTAATCGGTTTACTGAGTAATCCCAATAAACTGACCCGATTTTGAGCAAATCGAGGCGGTGGAGCTTCGACCAACGCCTAGGCGGGCATTTAATCGGTTGGGCGCCCGTCCTTTAGAACCGTGGATATAGGTATAAGAGTTAAATACAAAAGAATAGAAATAGAAAGGTATTTCTATAAGAATATTTTTGTCTTCAATTTACTAAATAATGTTTTAAGGGTTGCAACAATCATTTTTTAATTTATATTTTAAAACTAGATAAAACATGATTGTCAATTTTTATGATTATAGATGAAGGGACAAGTTATTTCCCCATTAGTTTAGGATTTCTCCAAAAACTGGGTGCTTCCGGGTTTCTTCTCGGTTTCTTTTAAATGTTCAGTTAATTGTAACAGTTTAAACCAAGACAAGTTTGGATCGATTAATAAAATAGTAAACCTCCTATGACATCACCATCTTTTTATAAGAAAAAAAACTTTGAATCCATTCGTTATAATTCACTTGATTTTAAGATCTAATGGTCACAAAACACTATTTGCAATGAGTGTTGATGTCATCATTTTTCTTTGGCAACTCTTCTTTCAAAATACATGTATTTCAAAGTACATATATTTTTAAGAACCATAATGATATCCTTTTATCATTAAACAATTATTCTTAACAATTATTTCTTTTGAAGCGACACATCTTTTAATTGAAAAGTTACAATCTGATGGGTGCATCGTGATCCAAGAGATACGAACGTGTCGTGATCTAAGAGGTAGGAATATGTAGTGATCCAAGAGGTATGAAGGTATCGGGATCGAAAGGGTGCGAACGTGTCGGGATCGAAAGGGTGCAAACGGTTTGGGACTGAAAGGGTGCGAACGTGTCGGGACTGAAAGGGTGCGAATGATTCGGGACTGAAATGGTGCGAACTTATCAGGACCGAAAGGGTGCGAACGGTTTGGAACCAAAAGGGTGCAAATGGTTTGGAATCGAAAAGGTGCGAACGATTCGGGACCGAAAGGGTGCGAACGTGTCGGGACCAAAGAGGTGCTAACGTGTCGGGATCGAAAGGGTGAAAATGTGTCGGGACTGAAAGGGTGTGAATGTGTCGAGACCGAAAGGGTGCAAATGTGTCGGGACTGAAAGGGTGTGAACGTGTCGGGGCCGAAAGGGTGCGAACGTGTCGGGACCGAAAGGGAGCAAACATGTCGGGACCAAAAAGGTGCGAACGTATTGGGACCAAAATGGTGCAAACATATTGGGACCGAAAGGGTGCAAACGTGTCAGGACCAAAAGGATGTAAACATGTTGGGACCGAAAGTGTGTGAACGTGTCGGGCCGAAAGGGTGCAAATAGTTTGGGACCGAAAGGGTGTGAACGTGTCGGAACCGAAAAGGTGCGAACGGTTTGGAACCGAAATGGTACAAACGGTTTAGGACTGAAAGGGTGCGAACGTGTCGGGACTGAAAGGGTGCAAATGTGTCGGGATCGAAAGGGTGCAAATGTGTCGGGACTGAAAGGGTGCGAATGTGTCAGGACCAAAAGTGTGCGAACATGTCGGGACCGAAAGGGTGTGAACGGTTCAGGACTGAAAGGGTGCGAACAATTCAAGACCGAAAAAGTGCGAATGTATCGTCACCAAAAAGGTGCGAATGTAACGTCATCAAAAGGGTGTGAATGTAAAGTCACCAAAAGAGTGCATACATAATGTCACCGAAAATGTGCAAATATAACGTCACCAAAAAGGTGCGTAGGTAACCTTTCCGAAGGGATGAGAACATAATATTACCGAAAGGGTGCAAACATAATGTTATTGAAAGACTGCAAATGTAATGTTATTTTATATGTAACAATAATAATAATAATCATATTTCATTACTTTTCAGAATGTATTGATATGGTTATGGATATGAAAAAACTGAAAAAAAAACGGGAAACAAACTTACCAGTCGAATTATCCAGAAATTTGTTAGATTTTGGGTTTTCTACCATACACAGTCGACATAAGATATTATTTAATTGATTGATACCAAGTATCATATTATGGACTTGGAGGTGAGGAAGCTGACGTGGCTGGTTAAGTGTCTTGGTTGTTTCAGAGGGTTTGCTGGTAGAAGAAACTTGGAATGATTCAGAGGCTTTGCAGTTAGGATCTCTGAAACAGAAGAAGACTGTATAAGAGTGGAGCTCGAGGACGTTGAGGATTATACTTGATATTGTTGGTGATCTTAGACGTGATGATTCTGAGCTCAAGTTCGTGATGAGAATTTGAGATTGAGCATTTGGATTTGTAATTGACACTTTGATTCAAAAATATACTTTGTTCTTTCATTTAATTCAATCGATTTGAGTTCTTACACTTCACAATATCCAAAATCTATCATTGTACACTTCGATTATATACAGTATAATGAAGTTTTGGATGTCTGCGTACAGATTACCAAATAAGTGTATTCAGGAGATAAACAGCATTTGTGCGGCTTTTCTTTGGTCTAGGCCAGTCCTGTCTATGCATAAAGCAAAGGTAGCTTGGTCAGATGTTTGCAAACCGAAAGATGAAGGAGGTTTAGGCCTGAGAAACTTGAAAGAAGCAAATAAAATCTCTTGTCTAAAACTTATCTAGCGTTTGTAATCTGGTAAAAATTCTCTGTGGGTTCACTGGATTTGGAAATATCTCATAAGGAAGGGATCTTTAGTCTGGAATGGGACTATTGGTAATCTGGCGGGTAGGAGTTGTTATCAATGACCTCAAGTGCTTCAGATTGTGGTGACTGTTTTGCGGGAAAGTGATTCGACGTTTTTACTAAGATACTGTTTTCAAGCTCTTATCTATGCACTTTGGCAGGAGAGAAATAGGAGGAGAGTTGGAGAATCTTCACAACCATGTGCGTGTTTGATTGCAAGGTTGGAAAAGTTAGTGAGAAATAGAATCACTTCTTTGAAGAAGAATAATGGAGTGAAGTATGCTAATGCCATGGGAACTTGGTTGAGCAGAAGTTAATCTTTAAAAAAAATTTAGAGTATTAAGTAAAATGTAGTAAAACTTTACATCACTTTGCAGTTTCTCTGTACAAAAGTTTTTTTTGAGATGAATAAAATTAAAAATTCTTTCTAAGAAAAAATTATTACCTTTTTATAGATGTAAGAAAACGAAAATATGAAGTATATCATCAGACACACAAAGGTATCAATGAATCATTTGTTAGTAATTTTAATGTTTTGAATTTTACGAGAACTAATAACCATTTTCATTCATTGGTAAATAGATAAAGAAATATTGGTCGAAAATAATAATTTACACAAACAATTATTGCGTTGCAGTGATTCTAATGCGTTAGTATGGCTTTCCTAAAGTACCGAAAAAGATCGATTAACCAAATGTCCATTATTTTCTCTTTGTTGTAAACAAGGACATATCAAATTACCTAAGATTCATGAGCCGCCTATAGTATTAAGAAATCTGTTATGTGATCCTTCATTTAATAGCAATATTCGAGTGTTTATTTTTTTATTGTCTATATTTTTCAATACTAAATTCTGGTGGTCCTTTTTACTTTATGCTTCATGGTGAAAATTATCACAGTATCGGATTACTTTTACCTGTGGATGGGGAGAAGGCCAAATTTTAACAGTTGTATATATTTGACATATCTAATGAAATAAAAACAGACTTTCAGTCATGAACCGAGAAGGAAAAGAATGAGTAGATACACAAATATTATCACTAATAAAAATGCTTGACGAAAATAATGTACTAGAAAAAAATATTTAGAAAAACAAGAGCTAAATATGAAAGTGGTGAATTATGCGGAAATGAAAATTTATATGGTAGGATATGTTAAAAGGAAAAGACAATAAGAATTGTCATCTGCTAATGAAATAGCTGGCTTAATAGTTGGTGATTTTTCTACAACCATGGACGAAATAGATGTTTTAGTTCAACATATAATACGAAACCTTCAAAGAAGTTTGGCTACTCATCCTCTTTATATGTCTTTACATTATCACTTGTTATTTCCATATGGAGAAATTGAGTTTTATGATGGAATATCGTATGTCCAAAAATCACGCTCAAATCAGAATATAGGTTATGCTAAAATGACAAAATACTATATGTATCGTATTCAGAGTAGGAATAATGAAGCATCAACTATCACCCGTAGCGGAAGATAATTTCATCAATATATAGTAGATGCATTTACTTCTATTGAAGCAAGTCGTCTTGCATTTATTAAACTTAATCATAAAGTAATAAGGGCTGATGTTTATAATAATGTAAAAAGAATTGTATTGCCTTCATCAATTACCAGTAGTCCAAGATATATGGCTGAAAAATATTAAGATGCAATGGCCCTTCGTCGTTGTTATGGAAATCATGATTTGTTCATTACTATGACTGATAATCTCAAATGGAGTGAAATAGATGAATACTTGAAAATATCTGGTGATAGTGCATCTAAGGATAGGTCT